AAATTTCTTGATGCTTTCATCTCACAGTTTGTGGCATTTTCTCCTTCACTGTGACTTTGGCAAGACTGATAACTACATCCCTTGGTCATGTCCTATTTGCCATGAATCTTCCCAGTGTTCAATAACCTTCTTGTATCTGGATGTCTAAATCTCGGGCTGGGCATGGTGGCTCACACCTATAATCTCAGCCCTTTGGGAGGCTGAGGTGGGAGTTGAAGCCAGGAGTTTGAAACCAGCAACATAGTGAGACCCCATCTCTACAAAAAATTTAAAAATTAGCCAGGTGTGGTGGCACATGCCTGTAGTCCCAGCTACTCAGGAGGCTAAGGCAGGAGGATTACTTGGACCCAGGAGCTGGAGGTTACAGTGAGCTGTGATTGCACCACTGCACTCCGGCCTGAACAACAGAGCAAGACCCTGTCTCTAAAATAAATAAATAAATAAATCTCTAGCAATACCAAGGAAGTTTTCCATTTTCTCCATTATTCTCCGCAGATTTCCATGCTTTTTGCTTTTTCTTCTTCTCCATCAGGGATACCTATGATTCTTATATTTGTGTGCTTTACATAATCCCATATTTCTCAGAGACTTTGTTCATTCTTCTTGATGCTTTTTTCTTCATTTTTGACTGACTGGGTTAATTCAAAAGCCTTGTCTTCAAGCTCTGAAATTCTTTCTTCTGCTTGGTCTAGTTAAAACGTTCCACTGTATTTTAAAGTTCCCTAAATGACTCTTCTATTTCCAGAAGTTCTGTTATGTTTTTTCTTAAATTATCTCTTTAGTGAATTTTTCATTCATGTACTGAATTTTTGTTTGTTTGTTTCTTTGTGTCAATTTTCAACTTTCTCATCAATCCCATTGGACTATGATCCATATTTTTAATTCCATATCTGACATTTCAAAAATTTCCTTTTGGTTGGAGTCCATCGCTGGAGAGCTAGTATGATCCTTTCGGGGATGTCAAAACAGCCCGTTTTTTCATGCTGGCAGAGTTCTCGAACTGGTTCCTTCTCACCTGGAAGCTATTCTCTCACCTCAAAACAGATAGCTTTGTAGTTCACCTGTTCTCCTCTGCTGGGAACTCTGCTGCTCAGTTAGAGAGGGAGAGGTACACTGCCTTTCAGCTCCTGCCGGCAGATACCCACTGTGGTGTTGCTGGCAACTTAGGTCAATTGGACCTCCGACCTCTGGGAGAGTGTTTAGATGACTGCAGTAGTGAACTAGGTTAGGTAATCCCATTCTCAGGCCCCTGGATGGTGTGCTTGAGTCCTAGGGGCACCAGACTGACACGGGGCTGGCAAACTTGCTCTTAAGCCTCCCTAAGTTCATGTGCTGGCTGTGACAGTGACGGGTGGGGTGATCTGCTACACAAGCATGCTCAGGCAGGAAAAGGGCACTGTGAGCCTGTGACAGGAGGGGTGGGACCCTCTTGACAAGATTAGGCAGTCAGCTGTGGGCACACAAGCTGCTCACACCTCCCTTTCTTGGCAGTGACAGCAGTCTCCGTCTTTCAGGTGCACAAAAGCGTGCAGATTCTCAGCTCCCACTTTGGCCCATCTGCAGCAGAGGTGGTGGAGGAAGTTCAACCCACTGTGTGCTGTTCTTAACTTTTGACCCAGTAATTCCACTTCGGGAACTCTCTCCCAAGAAAATAATCCAAAACTTGAAAAATAGTTACAATAACAAAAAACTTACCAATATCTAAAAATAAAACATTCTAAATATTCAGCAATGGAAGAATAGTTAAATAATTTGGAACACATATAAATTGTTGAGAATGTTATGCAGTCATTAAAAACGTTATAAAGGCCGGGCACGGTGGCTCACGCCTGTAATCCTAGCACTCTGGGAGGCCGACGTGGGAGGATTGCTTGAGCTCAGGAGTTCGAGACCAGCCTGAGCAAGAGCGAGACCCCATTTCTGCTAAAAACAGAAATTATCTGAACAACTAAAAAAATATATATAGAAAAAATTAGCCAGGCATGGTGGCACATGCCTGTAGTCCCAGCTACTTGGGAGGCTGAGGCGGGAGGATCTCTTGAGCCCAGGAGTTTGAGGTTGCTGTGAGCTAGGCTGATGCCATGGCACTCTAGCCCAGGCAACAGAGTGAGACTCTGTCTCAAAAAAAAAAAAAAAAAAAAAAAACATTATAAAGATGACATAGCAACATTCTTATAAAGTGGGGAAAAAGGGCTGAAATCTGTTCACATACTATGGTTATCACCATATAAAGAAAACGACATGCAGGTAAGAAATATGCCAAAATACCAGCAGTTGGTAAGAATAATGATTTCTCTGTACTTTCAAAATTTTCTCTAATACAGGCCAGGCACTGTGGCTCATGCCTGTAATCCTAGCACTTGGGGAGGCCAAGGCAGGAGGATCCCTCGAGGCCAGGAGTTGAAGACCAGCCTGGGCAACAGAGTGAGACCCTGTCTCTACAAAAACTAAAATAAATTAGTCCCAGTCATTTGGAAGGCTGAGGCAGGAGGATCGCTTGAGCCCAGGAGTTTGAGGTTACAGTGAGCTATGATGATGCCACTACACTCTAGCCCAGGCAACAAAGCAAGACGCTGTCTCAAAAAAAAAATTTTTCTCCAATACCGTTATATTATTAGTATATTACATTTAGAGTGAAAAAAAACTTCTCAATTGAGAGATTCAACTAAATAATCTCTAAGATTCCTTCTGGCTCTAATATTCTGTGGTTTCTCACTGTAAGTAGGAAGAGAGGTCAGGCAAGAGTAAAAATGTTAGAAAAGTTTAGATGGTAGGGCTACTCCTATTTAAATTACTTTGATAGCATTTGAAAACTAGCACTTGGGGAAATGATGCAACACCCTCCATCTGTGTGGCAGAAAGGGCACAAGTCTGGGAAATAAGAAACCTGAACTGAATCAGATGATCTCTAAGGGCCCTCTCCAAACAACTCGTCCATCCACTTATTGAACAAAGATTTACTAAACGCCTACCATGTGCCAGGAACCGTGTAGCTGAATGACTACTGAACTATTGGTTCAGAGTCTAATGAGGCAGAAACATTCGTGAGGGCTAGCACAACAAAGTACCACAGACTGGGTGGCGTAAACAACAGAAATTTATTTCTCACAGTTCTGGAGTCTGGAAATCCATGATCAAAACGTCAGCAGGTTTGGTTTCTTCCGAGGCCTCTCTCCTTGGCTTGCAAATGGCCATTGTCTTAGTTTGGGTGGCTATAATTAAGTAATATAGACTGGATAGCCTGTAAAGAACAGAAATTTATTTCTCACAGTTCTGCAGGCTGGATATCCAAAATCAGGGTGCCAGAATGGCTGAGTTCTGGCAAAGGTCCTCTTCCAGGTTGTAGACAGGTGACTTCTCCTTGTATCTTCATATGGTAGAAAGAAAGCAAGAGAGCTCTCTAGGGTCCCTTTCATAAAAGCACTAATCCCATTCACGAGGGTTCCACCTTCATGACCTAATTACCTCCCAAAGGCCCCACCTCCTAATACTATCACATTAGGGGTTAGGATTTCAACATACGGATTGGGGCGGGGGGCGCACATTTAGTCCAAAATAGCTGCCTTCTTGCTGTGTCCTCACATGGTTGTTGTTCTGTGCACATACATCCCTGGGGTCTTTTTATGTGTCCAAAGTCCTCTTCTTAAATGGACACCAGTCGGACTGGACTGGGGCACACATAATGGACTCATTTCAACTTAATCAGCTCTTTAAAGGCCCCGTCTCCAAATATAGTCGTTCTGAGGTACTGGGGGTTAGGGCTTCAACGTGTGAATTTGGGGGGACAAAATTCAGTCCATAACATATTACAAACAACAAACTGTGCAATAACAGAATTGCATTCAATAACAGAACTGGGAAGCATGTGAAGGCATAATTAATTCTGACAGGAAATATCAGAAACTACTGCAGAGAGGAGGTGTCATCTGGGCCCAGTTCTAACTTGAGCAGCGGTCTCCAACCTTTTTGGTATCAGGGACCAGTTTCATGGAAGACAATTTTTCCACAGACAAGGGTGGGAGGGAAGGTTTCAGGATGATTCAAGTGCATTACATTTACTGTACAGTCAAACCTCTCTACGAATGATAATCTGTATTTGCAGCCGCTCCCCAGCACTAGCGTCACCGCCTCAGCTCCACCTCAGATCATCAGGCACTAGATTCTCATAAGGAGCGTGATCCCTAGATCCCTCGCATGAGCAGTTTACAGTAGGGTTCACGCTCCTATGAGAATCTAATGCCACCCACTTACCCTGACACTCATCTGACAGGAGGCGGAGCTTATGCAGTGATGCAAGCCATGGGGAGCAACTATAAATACAGGTGAAGCTTTGCTCACTCGCCAACCACTCACCTCCTGCTGTACGGCCTGGTTGCTACCAGGCCATGGACCGGTACTAGTGCATGGGCCGGGGATTAGGGACTGCAGAACTTGAGAATCTCAGGTCTATAAACCACTACCCTTAGTTGTCATAAAAATATCTTAAGTATCAAAAAAACGAAGATAAGACACAATCGGAAAATAAATCAGGTTTGGAAAGAGGCCAAAAGAAGAACGTTTTTGTTCCAGAGGAACAAAGGGAAATACCAACTTCTTATACTTGAACTGGGATTGTGGATTCAAACACAGCAACTCGGAGGTCAAGCGAAAATCTTGGTTCATGGAATAATCTGCTCCTTGCTCTCACTCCTTAAGTCTCGAGGATTTTAATGTAGAGTACGGGGGGAGGGTGTGAGATCTTGATAAACCCCCACCTTTTGTCCTCTCTTCAATCCAGAAGCCATTCTTTCTCCCCTTACCTTCAGCTAAACTTTCTCTAGGCAAGATTTTAAAACTCAATTCCTTATCCATTAAAATACTCCCCTCTTGAAGTAAATTAGATCCCAGAAGTTAAAAAGGAGGAGAAATGGAGCTGTGCTGACCTAGGCAGCACAATGCTGGGGGGACCATTTCTGTTGGCACCTTCCAGTCCCTGGAAGTGACCTGTTTCCTTCCAACAGGCGTCGCCAGAGGCCACTGGGACCAAGGCCAGGCTTCTAGGAGGTGGCTCCAGGAAGGCGGCCAAGAATGTGAGTGCAAAGGTCAGTGACTTAGCATCAACAACAGCAGTGGCACCACTATGACCCCAGCTCTCTCCCTTGGGCACCTCTGAGACCAGTGCAGATGTTGTCTCAGCCGACCTCACCCATTCCCCTCTCCACCAGCCCACCACATGCAGCACCAGTGCCTGCTTTCTTCCTGAGTCTCAAGCAAGAACGAGACTCCTCCAAGGTCTAGGGGAGAGCTAGCCAAATCTCAGGCTGCCACCTCCCCCTTACCCTTTTCCCAAAGAACCCAGGGCTGCCTTCCAAAAGGCTTTTTACTTTTTCCTGGCCTCCCAAAAGCTTCCAGAATCCTATTCTCAGCTTTATTTTACTCATAGGAAAGACTGAAAGTACAGAGGCAAAATGGCTTGCCCGAAGTAAAGCAGCCACTAAAAGGCAGACACCTGGGTCTTACTTCTCATTCTTTGGTCTCCCCAGTGATATTCTGATGCCCCCTCCAACCCTGCCACCAAATCCTTGCCCACACAGGTCAGGACAAACAACTCAGAAATCCTGGTGTTCAAATAGCTAGATGTCTCCACTGTTCCGTGCCGACCCCTTTTCCCACCCCACTGCAGTATGAAGGTGGAAGTGGAAGGCATGGAAGATGGCAAGTAAAGCCCCGCCCTACTCCCTACTCTCAAACGTATTAACCCTCCTGTCTAAGTAGCAACTCTGTTATTGCAGATTGGTTCCTAAGAGCCCCTAAAAGAAAACTCATGACAGTGCCTGGGCTGCCAAAGAAGCAGTGTCCCTGTGATCGTTTCAAGGGCAAGGTGAAGAAAACTAGTAAGTTTCAAGAGCATAACCTTCCTTATACCAGAGTCACTCTGGGGAATCACTGGGGATGAAGCAGGTATTAGAATAAACAAGAGAGTTGTGGCCGGGC